TTTTTTGATCTTTTTCGATCTTCTTCGTCGCGCTGTGATGACGTCACATACGCGCTTTTGTCGACCGCGATTTTGTCCTCTGCGGTTTTGTGGTAGAACCCTTATCTTCGGGCACACATTAATAAAATATAGATAAGAGCTCCTAAATCTACATCAAATTGCAAACATCTGTCCTTTGCTAACAGCATGCTAGGGCCAGCTACATCATCCAGCCAGGCCCCAGAACTTCTGCCAATATCTGGGGTCCTTCTTAACTTAATACTGCTCAATTATTTCCTTCACACTGCTAACCCCCATGGCTCATTGCCATCTCCTTCTAGAAACTTCTGGCTGCTCCGTTCCTGGTTTAGCCTCCCCATGAGATCACTTCTTTGGCAATATCCCTGAGATTGTGTCACCTCTATGAGGATACGGGCATCAATCCTAGAGGCAGCAAAGACCCCCTAGCTACCTCATTTGGCAAGAGAGGTATCCAAGACTGCAGGAAACTGGTTTGCTCTGCCTTATCTAGGATAAATAGTTCTCTGCATTTGTGTGAGATTTGAGGTCTGGGTCTTGGCCTCAACACTTTTTTTTTTTTTTTTGCCCTGTTAGCAGAATTTATTAGACTTTCCAGCTGCCAATAAAAATTGACGTATTAAATTCTGGGTGGTCCCGATAATAAGGAAACACACACCGAAGGAAACTGATGCCAAGATATATTCAATCTTGAAGCTGCCTATCCTGAATCTTGAGTCAGCTATTCTTACAAAAAAACATAATAATTCCATTTTTATGTGAAATAACGAGCGATGCCAAACATTGCAAACCGCTGCGTGCTCTTAACACTGTCGCAAGGCACAAAACCACGACTATTATCCGAGACTTGGATAGTAGCCAACCTAAAATTCAACCCCATAAGGAATCATAACAGAAAGCAATAAAGTGAGCGTCAAAATCTGCCTCTTTTTAAGAAAAAATAAAATCTACTATGAGATGTCTACTAAGTGAGTTTTTCAAGATGTGGGGGTGATTGCCTTTAAAGTCCTACGTGATTTTGGGCTAGTTTATTTGAAGTTGAATTTTATTTTATTGTCATTGCACTTCGTACTGTGGGAAGTTATCACCCAGCCCTCTCCCAGAAAAATGAAATATCCTAGGAAATATTGAGAAGGCAGAATATTTCTCTGGATGTGAAAAGAAAGAAACANGACGGGACAGATAGATCCCTAAATTTGATACACACAAGCCCATAGACCCAGATAGACAGAAAGATGGATGGAAGGCACAGACAGACAGATAGACGGATGGATGAGAGGTAGGCTGATGCGGAGATACAGATCTTGATATACATGTAGGGGACAAGGTGACAGACAGACAGACAGACAGACAGACGAGGCAGATATTGGGGAGCGGGAAGGGGAAATCTATGCAGATCCCCTTTATTACCTGTGGACTCCAATCCCAGGATTCCTGAGACAGCAGGAAGTCCACAGCTCGTAAAGGGGCCCAGGCCTGCTCAAAGAGACTGCCCTGCTTGGCTCAACCACCGGGCCCATGTTCCTGATCCGGGGGCAATGGTGGAAGCCAAGCAGCAGCCCACCCAGGACCCTCTCCACAGCCCCTTGCAAGGAGCTCCCTCACCTGGCAGGGCCGTTGTGCAGGTGAGTTCATTGGGCAGCTGGAACTGGGTGGGGTTCCTCTCCATGGCGGCCGCGATGAGCAGCTCGAAGGGCCGCTTCAGGTGAGGCTGCCCCCCCTCGGCTTCCGCCCCGGGGGCCGAGTCGTCGTCCACGTCGATGATGTCCTCGTCCACGTCGATCTGCTCCGAGTTGGGGGTGTCTGTGCTGGTGTTGGAGGTCGGGGTGCCGGGCCGGCTCGCTCTGCGCTCCAAGAGCCGGGCGTGGGGAAGGGTCCGGAGGCTCCCGCCACCCGCCCGGTCCAAGTAGTCGGCATCGCTGGTGGGAGACGAGGTCCTCTTGCCCGACTTGTCAACCAAGCCATTCATGTGGCCGAGTTCCTTCTTCTGCTCCCTCTTCTGCAAGGCACAAAACAGCTTGTCAGCCTTCCTCCCCTGGGCACTCTGCGTGTGCGTGCGTGCGTATGTGAAAGAGAGGGAGAGAGAAGAGGGAGAAGGAAAAAGGAGAGAGGGAGAAAGAAAAAAGAGAAAGAAAAAGAGAGGGAGGAAAGGAGAGAGAAACAGACAGAACGAGAGAGAAAGAGAGGGAGACAGAAAGAGAAAGTCAGAGAGCAAAAGAAAGAAAGAGAGACAGCGAGAAAGAGTAAGAGAAGGAAAAAAAAGACAGCAACAAAGAGGGAGGGGGAGAAAGGGAGAAACGGAGACAGAGCGAGAGAAAAAGAGAGGGGGGAAGAGAAAGAGAGAGGGAGAAAGAGAAAAAGAGAGGAAAAAAGAGAGGGAGGGAGAAATAGGAGGAGAGAGAAAGAGACAGAGGGATAAAATATCTCTTCCCAGAACCTCAAAGAAGTCCCTGTGGGGGCTGCTGGATAGAAGTAGTCCTTGACTTATGACCACAATTCAGCCTAATTTTTTTCTTGGCTAAGCGAGACAATTTTAAGTGAATTTTGCTCACTTTTCACAACCTTTCTTGCCACTCCTATTAAGGGGATCACAGCAGTTAAGTTAGTCCCCTCTTCGTTAAGTGAAACCTGGGTGCACCATGGACTCTGCTTGTCAGAAGGTCACAAAAGGGGATCGTGTGGCATACCGCCCCCCCTGGGGGGGGGGGACATTGCGACCGTCATAAAGATGAGCCGGTTGCCAAGCGGCAGAGTTTTGATCTTGTGACACACAAACACACCCCGGGGACGCTGCAACAGCTGCAAGTGTGAAAAATGGACATAAGTTGATTTTTTTTCCCCCAGTGGCAACTTTGAACGGTCACTAAATGAACATTTGTAAGTCGAGGTCTACCTGTGCAGGACCACCTCGACTTATAACCATCTGCTTAGTGACCATCTGAAGTCACAGTGGCCCTGGGAAAAAGAAGAAGAAGGGACTTAGAATTGAATTCCCTCTGTCAGGGGATCAAAATTCAGGCCCTGCTCAACGGATTTGATTGATTGATGGATGGATGACAGTTGCTGGCTCCCAGGGTCATGTCTCTCTCTCTCTCTCTCTCTCTCTCTCTCTCTCTCT